AAATTCCATTCATTTGGATAACACAGTTTTAACATAAACCAATAAACTGAATGTTATATTTGTTTGTCATATACAAATGAAACGGGTAATATTTTTGCACTCATAAAATCACGGCATAGTTTATTATTGCCTATTTACATTTATTTATTTTATTTAATACATTAATATTTTTAAAACCCATTTATATTAAAACATTATATTAGAATCAGCATAAATGTATTAACATGGTTAAAATATGATTCGCTGTGGAACATATGCAATTCAGTTAGTTAAAATGTATGAAACAAATTGAATGTATTGATGATAAATGTATAAGTTGAATGTGCTCTAAATGTATTTAAAACACATTCAGTCTATTAGTATGATTACAGAAATATGTACAGTTGAACTACTCTTACAGTTTCTTATATTTCTTTATGTATGACTGACAAATATGCATTACATTTAGTTTCTTAGTTTGTTCATGTTAAAATTGTGTAATTCAAATTAATAGAAATATTATATGCAATTCAAACACATAAATCTTAGATTTAGGCCCAAATATTTTTGAACTGCCCTCCTTATGACCCTTCTCACATGTCTGACTCTGTCCAGTTCTTCTTCCAGATGCTGGTTATGTTGGTTCATCATCTCCATCATGGTCTTCAGCTCAGTACATTTGTCCTCCAGTGAATCATGCTCTGACTGGGCTGCAACTCTCCACACCTGAAACTCTTTCTCCAGAAGCCTGATCATAACATCACAAACGCACTGAGGTGCAATACAACAACACAATTGTACACAAACACGGCACACAAGACTGCCTGCCCCCCACCTATAGTCAAAAGATTTCTTTTGAAAAAGGGCCCACCATTTATCTCTCTGCAGATCCCTCATGGCCTTCTGAATAACACTGAGGTCTTTTTGGAGAATAGCTGCTTCTCTCTATAACACCGTAAACATAAAAAATATTCACAGGGTGATTGTTTATCATGAATCATTATTAAAATCTATAGATTTCATTTTACTAGGAACCCCATGTTGTACTTTGTGAAACGTTGCAGGT